AACCTGTTCGGGCGCGGGCACGTGCCGCAGTGCGACCCGCTGCTGGGCGGCGTGCTGTCGCGGCCCGCGCCGCGCCCCGCGCGCAAGCACTACTCCTGGGACAAGATAGAGTTCGACGCCACCTGACCCGCGCCGCCGCGCGCTCTACACCTCTCGCATCGTCTCCCACGATAACACTATACACTATACACAGTTACATACTACATGCATGCATGCAACTATAATATTTAAATAATGCAGCATTTAAATGGTGCGATTCGCTAAGAGTAACAAGAAGGGCGACATTAAGTGGGAAATGCTACAGAGTGGCAATCGTGCAACGTACGCTAGTCGATTCAGTGACTTGATCTTCCAGGACGGTGACTTATTCAGTAAGGACTAGATGTAATTAAATGTAATGTCGGAACACATAGTGTGGACATTGTGAAGGACAAAGTGACTTATTTATATTATGTTAGTAATCAGTACTTAATACATGGTACGAATTGTTTGTATCGCTAGTTGTTTAAATGATTTGCCGATTTGTGTTAACTATTGAGTGTGGGGCGTTCGTTCATCGCCGCGTGCGCGTTTACTTGGCTCATAATTAATCCTTTTAATTTATTGAGGCGTATTTACTTATGTATATAAAGTATCGTTGTACCGACTCAACTTAGTTGTGGATTTCAGCATTCCGACACCTGAATAAACATTTCTAGAACAAAATGTCATTCAAATAAAAGTATAAACTTTATATTTTTACTACGATTGCATATAAGCAATGAATGAATAAAAAATGTTGGCGTCATTTGCTGAAATCCTCTTAGTTCGGTTTCTAATTCCCGAATCTATGTGACATTCCAATCTTGCTAAAGTGAAAAATACAGCACAAATACACGCTCGCATCTCTCTGTCGGATATACCATCACATAAACAAAATAAACATGTCTACTAGTGATTCCTGTGACTAATTTAAATTGAAAAAACAATAAGCTGAATATATGAGAGGCATAGGCATAGGCTGAGGCAGAGAGGGCGGGTCGCGTGAAGAAGCCATCGTCATGGGTGGGACCAGCTCGGGAACAATGTTAGATGTGAATTGATTTAGTTAAAGTAGGGAGCCTACTCCGCACGCACAAACAATTATGCAATCATTCTCCTGCTTAGTCTCTCACTCGCATACAAATATTATTTTCCATTTAATTTAAGCCTTAGATAGATACCTTCGAGTACGCGGTAACGTGTAGATAAAAATGCTCCTACTGAAGGAATAATTGTTATTTATTAATCGTTTATGTTATCTAAAAGATTTAACGAACATAACATTCTTGAAAAAATATCATTCCAGTTTATTGTCTAAAGTTTAGGATAGGTGCGCCGTGCCCACTTCACCTTACTGCCGGGTGCTTGCATAATTGTTTGAATACCTTATTTATAATTTATTTATTATCTACCGCTATCCAATACATCCTTTAGTGTCGACGCCGCGCTGCGAATGTCTACGGGACATCAAAACTCGTGAATCAGGAAATATTGCCATTATTTGCATTTATAATATAATTACTACGTTTAGTTAAAAGTTTTTCACGACAACGAATTCGGCTTGAGAGCCAATAATGTGCCAATCTTTTGATATTTCAACCAACACTGTCACTATCGAGTCTAGTAGAGATTAGATATTTTTCCATAGGTAATATTTAATTAATATTTTGTATTTTTGCTAAGGTTTCGGTTTTTCTTTCATTGGTGCGGATGTTTGTAGTGTAGTGTTGTGATGCTCTGGAAGGTAGTTTGTGATTGTACTTAAAAAATATATTGCGTCTTTTTAAGTACACTCGCATGCAGTATGGTGCTATGTGAAGGACTAAAATTTAGGTAAACGTTAAACATTTGTGTGACAATACATACTTAACTATAAGAAAGTGATTGAATATTTAAAGATTGTCCCATGTGTAACACCTGTCTACCAGGGGAGGCATTCAGCAAACACTTTGTCAACCAACATTGCCGTTTTGATACAATCCCGATGTTTTGGAATAAGTTACTAATATTAAACATATTGTTATTGTTTTTTTTTTGCTTACTAAACTTAAGTCATATTCCATTATCTAAGTAAATTGTAACAATCTCTAGAATAAATGTAACTTTTATTTGCTCATCCAATTTGTACCTATCCATTTTAGCAAAATTATTTAACAAGTGGTAGGGAAAAGTTTTATTTTCCGTATGGGTTATGTGTTGTCGCTATTCCCAGTTAACAAGCCTGTACCGAGAGTTTTGTATAGCTTTGTGTACCCTTCGCAGGGATTATTTAGGTTGTATATTTAAATAAAAATGTGCAGTGAGATTAATATTTTGATAAAGCAAACTATCTTCGTATTTGTTATTGTTGTAATCGTAATAGGAGAGTTTTAATATTTGTTTTCTATATAGATTATTCCCAAGTGATAACTGTGCTGAATTTAATCAGTTTAGCTTTATACATTAATATTTACTTTATACTGGCTTCGTTATATCGCTTGCGTTAGTTTTAAATACAGCTAATTTTTAATTATTTATGTTTACTTGAGTAAATGCAATATGTTTACATAGGTGAGCGTGGGCGAGTGCTCGAGAGTTATATATGTGATAATCGCTAGAATCGGATCAGTAGTGTGTATGGATAGTTTTTTTACCTTGCCGTATAATGAAGCCTTGTAAATATTTACCGAGCCTTTATTAGCTTAAGGAAAATTGTTGAATAAAAAAATACTTAAAAAAACATTGTTTTATTTCCTTTTAACTTGTCTATATTTTATAATGTTTGAAAAATAAAGTTTAGTACTCATGAGAAGAGTAATAATTATTGCCTACCTTATCACTGATTTCGTATTGTGGAAGAGGGAACATATTTTTCCTTTTACAAGTGTGTGGAAACTTAACTCACACCAAGGTTTAGGCTCGATTTATATAACCGCACAGTGTAAGCTTACAGCTAATTCTTTACAACTAAAGGGAAGGGGTTTAGGAATTGAAAATGACATATTTTATTCTAACATTTATTATAGAGACAAAGTGATTTAAACACATTGACTAGAACTATCCTTATTTACTAAATTATGTTACTTGATGATTTACGTTTTCAGCAATAATTTGATCTTTTTAACTACGAAGGAAAAATGTATGTGTTTATTGCATAAGTGTTGACATGCCTGTACTCGCAAAATAAAAATCGACGAGGAAACACATGCCTTACACTCCATGCCATTATACTTTAGAAATACATGTACCAATTTAAATATTTATTATAGTAGAGAGAAATGTCAAGAAATGGACAAGGAAGGTTGGGAATTAATTCTTACAAATAAATAATTGGAGACTCCACATTTAAAACTAACATCAGGGTGATGAAATCAACTATCCTTTCTCATGTTTTTACATAACGATCCAATGTGTTTCAGTTTTTCGATCGATGTATATATAATTCCTTTTTAATATCATTCCTATGATTACATAAAAATACACAAAACATGTAAAGACGCGAAAACAAACGTACATTTTTTTATAAATATAATACTTTGACTAAGAAATTATTTAAAACTCGATTATTATATCGACCATAAAACACAACTTAACATTATAAAAATACAAATTAATAAATTATCTTAAGTATCAGATTTGATTTGGATATTCTGCTATAAGTATGAAATATAACTAATACTTATAATAAATAGTCGTACAGTAAATCTATGTTTCCTCAAATTCAATAAAAATCAAAATGTGTAATTTATTTCTCTGGTCTTCAATTTTCAACTAACTTTATTGTTAAGATATATATTCACCAACTTAGTCCTTCTTTTCATGTGATTCTGAAAATAACAATGATTACATATTTATAAGAGTTTTATTTCTAATTTTTTTGATAAGAATGCCTATTGTGCAAACCTAAGGATACTCAAGAGAGAAAAGTTTGTAAACTTAATTGTAAAGCTAAAGGAATAAGCAAAACATTTCACTTGTCTTTATTACAATTTTAAATACACATAGAAATGTAATTTACAAACTTACCTATTACATGGCGTCAGTACAAACCAAGATCCACTTCCTTCATATACTTTTACCATTGATAAAACATTGTTAAATATCCAATAACGATTGATAAACTTAGTAAATTATAATTAAAAATAATAGTGAAAATGTCACATTTGCTTTCTAATAACTAAAATAAAGACAAGTAAGTGATTTAAGATCAACATGCGACAAGTTATTTCAGGTTTTCAATATTTTCGTCTTCATAATAAATAGAATAAATTGTCGACGATGTCTCTTTGAGTTGAATGATTTGCTACATAGGCATTTTTATCATAAACTATTTTAATCGTTAGCGATATAATAGAAGCGATTTAGCCACCACCAGTCTACTGTACTATATCTACCATATATAGTTTACCAATCGGTAGCAAAATACAGGATGTGATGACTAAATTAACTACATTCTTATTATTTGCATAAACATCATGGAATATTAACACTATAGTATAGCAATGTACTTAATTACGTTGTTAGATTCCGAATGTTCACAGTAATTTCTCAAGCGACAGACACTATGACAAGTAATGGAAAAAAAAACAGAACAACTTTATATTCAAATCTTATACAAACAAACATTGTCTTAGAACTAACATTTATTGCCCGTAGTAAAAGGCATAAGTTGTCAATGAGATCCAAAGTAATGTAAAAAACATTTTATGTATTTTACTAATGTATAAATTAATTAACATAATTATATTGTAACAGTAACGCAACAGCACAAGTAACATCGATTTACCTCGTTTATCGAATTAAACATCGCTAAATATAATTTACTCTTTGGTAAATGACTAGAAACATCTTAAAAGTTAAGAGAATTTTACACACATAAAACGTAATATTTTAGCGTGTGCGCGTCTAGGTCGCATATGTATAATTTATAGGAGCGTCATATGATTTAGAGATACATCTTTATTAAACTCATATATTTTAAATTTTTACCGATCTCTTCGTCTTCATCGGAATCGAGTATGTCCGTGCAGAAGATGGAGTAGCAGATGAGGGAGAGGAAGCCGAGCGGCAGGCCGAAGACGAGCGCGGTGAGCACCGGGTTGCCGCGCCACATGCCGCCCAGCGCCGCGCGCGCCTCGAACACGCTGCGGTACACGCCCACCAGCCAGTGGTCGCCGCCGTATGCCTGCAATGCAACTCACATTAAAATTATAAATACTTACACAGTTTACAGTATTGAGAATATTAATAATTTTCCTCCCTAGGAATAATTCACATTGCAATCTTTTGAATATCCTGCAGACAACTCTCTTAATTTTAATTCTTAGTCTTAAACACAAGAAATGAAACTTACAGGCGCTTGCTGGTTATATATCTGTTCAAGGAACCATACAACAGCCTCTGGTGTCATCAGTACGGGATCATCGTCAGGAATGTGATGATGGCTGGTGGTAGAGTTCAACACCAGCAAATGGGGAACAGTCAACTCAGACATGGCGATGGAATTTGCCAAATCTGGAGTTCCCATCCATCCAAATTGGAAATTCTCATGAAGTTCAGATTTCTTTT